TTGATTGTGACCAATAATTTGGTTATTGTGTGACCAATAAACAATATGAGACTAATTAATTAGATAAACTGTGACCAATACATGTGGTGTGACCTAAAAATTATTAAATTGTGACCAATAATTTACTAAATTGTGACCTAAAATATAATAAATGTTCAATTAATGGGATGTTTGTGATCGTAAATAAATATTGTGACTTAAAAATTTTGTGATTTGTGACCGATGAATAACTTGTGACTTTTAAATTTTTAAGTTGTGACCGATAAACAAATTGTGACCTACGAAAATTTTGAATTGTGACCTAATTTTTTTTGAATTGTAACCAAACTGTATAGATATGTAACCTTAACATATTCGTCGAAATCAGATAAGTCGCCGAAACGGTCACCGGAGAAGAGTGGTGACCGGAACGGTCGCGGGAATACCTCCAGAGTTGTAAGGGTGGTGAATGTGGGGGTGGGTTAATTATTTTATAGTAGAATTAAATATTAATAATAAATTAATTTAATAATTATTATTTCATAATTAAAATTATAAAGAAACCTGATTTTTGACATTGAACACATGTTTTGGTATTTTTGAAATGTGTAAAAGTAAATGGTTGATTTATGTATTATTCCCTTGTGAAAAGTGGAAATTTCACCATGTACTGTTAAAAATTCCTTAAACTTAGACACACATTTCTTTTTAAGGAAAAAATAACTTTTTTCAACACTGTATAATTAAGAGAGAAAAAATTATGAAATAAGGTAATTAGCACATAACGTTATTATTTTTCATGTGGAAAATGTCATTACTTTTTATTTTTTTGACATTTTCACTATTATTTCCACATTGGATTGCGTCAAATGTTTTTCTCATCCATTTTCTCAATAAAAAATTGTGAAATGACGAATATACCATTCTCTTTAAATAAACAAAATTTTTTTTATTACAACCGTAATCTCGATTCTTTTTAAAAAGCTCAAATGAGTCTCAAATAAGTTATTAAATGGGTAATTAACACATAATATTCATACTTTTCACTATTATAGCGAAAAACGTCAATACCTCATTTTTTAGCATTTTCATACTTAATTACACTTGATTGTGCAAACCATCATTTCTATACATTTTTATCCAATTTTTCAATAAAGAGCCGCGAAATGATGAATATGCCCTCATACTTACAAAATATTAAATAAAATTATTATTATTATTTATAATTTTATAATAATTTATTTGAGATTCGTTCGAATTGTTTAATTTTTTTAAAATTTTTTAATAAATTTAATTGGGTCTCGTTTGCACTTAAAAAAATAATTTCTAATTTTCTAATAATTTATTTGGGGATTTTTTGTGCTTTTAACAAAAATTCTAATTTTTTAATAATTTATTTATGACTCATTTGAACATTTTTAAAAAAAATTAGGATTGCGTTTGCAATTAATTCTTTAGCTTTTTTATTAAAATATGAGGGTATATTCATCATTTGCGTAAGATATGATTGGATAAAAATGCTGATTTGTATAATCAAATATATAATTAATGGTGAAAATGACAAAAAAAGAAAGGTATGGACATTTTCACAATAATAGTGAAATGTATGGATATTATGTGTTAATTACCCTTTTAATAACTTATTTGGAATTCATTTGCGCATTTTAAAAGAAATTGGATCTACGATTGCAATTAGTTTTTTTTATTTTATTTAAAGAAAATGATATATTTGTCATGTCACAATTTGTAATTGAGAAAATTGATGAAAAAATGACTTTTGACGCAATGAAATGTGAAAATAAGGATGAAAATGTCAAAAAATGAAAGGTAATGACGTTTTCCATGATAACATTAAAAGACGGGGACGTTATGTGCTGATTACCAATGACATAAGATGTATGGTTAAAAATAATTTTGATAAAACCTTTTATAAATAAGCATTTAATCCAAAAAAGGTTACTGTTATGGATTTTTTCCACAAGGACATACATTGTCATACTTATGAAAAGATGAGGATGATACTGTAAAATACTGAAGATTGAGGACTCATTTGAACATATCGTTTACCCCTATTTTCAGTTTAAAAAAATAATAAAAAAAATCAACAAATGAAAAGAGAGGAGTGCAGCAAAACGCGTCGGGCAAACACACTCCACAAAGATTGGAATCGAAAACAGCCAATTAGAAATCGATTCAGGATCTTCCGTTTCAAAAATGGGTCCTGTCGATCGCTTTCGCCACTTACCAATCCCACTTGACGGCCAAAACAAGATTCAATCGAATTCTCTTCTCCAGAAATATTATAATTCGCTGATGCCTCTTGTTCTGTTCTACTTGAAGTACATCCAAAATTATGGATATTGATAGGTAGTCATTCTGTTACCAGTTTGTCAAATGGAAGCCTCGTACATTTTGTGTGGTGGCGTTTCCACCTTGGCATTGAAGTCTCCGGGAAGCCTGAGCCTACGCTTGCGTCCCAATGAATCGATTTCTCTGTACAGCTACAGCCGCAATAATGGGGTATTCTTTAGTTCCCGGTTCCCACGTCGGATTTTGGCCAGCAGAAGCAGTGGCACAGAGGTTGTAAGTACGAAGAGAAGATCCCGCGAGAATAGAGAAGATAGTGGTTCGGCGAGCAAGAAAAGCTTCAAGAGGGTAGCAGAATCTTCAGAATCTGGTAGACAATTGGGTGCCCAAAGAAATGGGCCGGTGAGCGTGCGTGCTCTGTATCAGAACGGAGACCCATTAGGGAGGAGGGATTTGGGTAAAGGAGTGGTGCAATGGATATGCCAGGGCATGAAAGCAATGGCTTCGGATTTTGCCATGGCGGAGATGCAGGGGGAATTTTCGGAGCTCAAACAGCGAATGGGGCCGGGTTTGACATTTGTGATTCAGGCTCAGCCTTACCTCAATGCCATCCCCATGCCCCTTGGCCTCGAGGCCATATGCCTCAAGGCTTGCACTCATTATCCTACCCTCTTTGACAATTTCCAGAGAGAGCTCAGAGATGTTCTCCAGGATCTCCAGCAGAAGTCATTGATTTCGAATTGGCGTGAAACTGAGTCATGGAAGCTGCTCAAGGAACTTGCCAATTCTGGTATCCATTATTGTCTCTCTCCCGCCAATTGTGAGGCTTTCTTTTGTTTAATTTTGAACTGATTTTGTGCATTTGCAGCTCAGCACAGAGCCATTGCTAGGAAGACTACCCAATCGAAGTCTGTTCATGGTGTTCTTGGACTGGACCTGGAGAAAGTCAAAGCCATTCAGAACAAAATTGATGAATTTACCAAGCAGATGTCGGATCTGCTGCGTGTAGAAAGGGATGCTGAACTGGAATTTACACAGGAGGAGCTGAATGCTGTTCCTACACCTGATGAGAATTCCAATTCGTCAAAACCAATTGAATTTCTGGTTAGTCACCCACAGACTGAGCAAGAACTCTGTGATACTATCTGTAATCTGACTGCAGTCAGCACATCAACAGGTGAAATGACTTTTTGGATTTATGCTACTCTCACATAGCTGATGGATGACGATATGGTGAGTTACCTCTTTTCCTAACAATTTTCAGCTCGTCCACACACAGGGTTAGGAGGAATGCATTTGGTTTTGTTCAAAGTTGAGGGAAACCACAGATTGCCTCCCACTAACCTTTCTCCTGGAGACATGGTTTGCGTGAGAACATGTGATACTAGGGGGGCTGGCACAACATCCTGCATGCAAGGGTTTGTTAATAATTTTGGAGAGGACGGATGTAGCATCAGCGTGGCTCTTGAATCCCGTCATGGTGATTCCACCTTTTCTAAGCTTTTTGGCAAGCATGTCCGTATAGACCGCATTCATGGATTGGCTGATACAATCACATATGAGGTACTGGATAGCGGTGACTCTGTCTCTCCCTTTCGCCCTCCTTGATAGTTGTCCTCTTCAACAACCTCTTGTTTGAAACTAAGAAATATTTTTTTAATGCAAGTGTTGCGTTCAGATGCCGTATGAATAATTTGGCTCTATGCTATGCACAGTAGAATAATTTGTAAGTTCTGGATCTTCTTTGATTTCTTCAATGTGTCAACAGTTTCCTCTCAAGCTGGTGCTAGATATTGTGCATTCCCAGCTTGCCTAGGATTTGATGATGTAGAGCCCATCACTTCTGTAGTTTCTGCCAGTTGATCTGATTAACATAAGGAGTGCATATCATCCATAGTCTAGCTTCTCCTTGATAAAATGTCTATTAATCTCCGCAATTCCTTCCTTGTTGCACTATATAGTTTCATAAGACTATTGACATTAATATATAGGTCAAAAGGATAGTTTTGATCCATAATAACTCACAAATACCCAATGTCGTTGTTCAAAATACTGTCTCTACACTTGATTAGTGCCAACTTCTGCTTTGATGAATAAAATTTTCAGATTACTTATCAAATAAAAAAAAAAGTGAAGTTGCAAACATCTCTATTGTGTCGAGACCTATGACAATATACAATAGTTAGCCATAGGTTATCCTCAAGCGGGATATGTTTAGTTTTGGTACTCGGAGTGTAGAAGTGGGCATTGGAAGCCATCAATTCAAAACTAATAATAGTGGGAATCTCTATGCTCGGATTTGAATCATCACATTTCTTTTGTGTTCTCCTTTTACTCAAGTATGGACCTCTTCTAACGATTGAAGAGGTTCGTTACTTAAAACTTGACCCTTTTTAAGATCCAAGTTCGGATCATTACCGTCCCAAAACCCTTAGAGAAAATAGTCAGTTTCACATTATCTTCAACAAAATATTGACTGTTTATTGTTGGTCAAGTTCTAATCACGAAAGTTTCATGGTGTTTCATATTGAGTCACAGTCATTGTGCCTTGTTTGGTCCTGAGAATGAGAATTTTCGGTTGATAGACATAAGTTGCAACATTCCAGATTTCCTTAGTTGTGGGAGAAGTCGCAATTCCTTGGCTAATCTGATGCAGAATTGAGTTCAACTTCTAGGATATCATAGTCAGTTCTCAGCATCCCGCAGAGCATATCATAGTCCACATTTTGTATCTACATTGGAGTTTGATAAGTCTCCCTATTCACACTATACCTGCCACTAGTCTCTCTATATAGAACAAAACTCTTTGATTTTATCTTTAATACACTTGGTTTAGATCCCTAGTTTCTTTTCCACTTTCCACGATATTTTTTTGAAACAACTTTATCCCTATATTAATGAAAAAATCCATAGCAAATATCATTACAACATACAAATTGAGAAGATCCTCTCTAGTTTAAGTAGTCTATACAACTTCTATTCATTATGTGGAATGCGACAATTCCAGTAGAAGAAGTAAATCCCATTGTTAGAAGTAATTCCCTTGACCTTAATAGCAAGTTGCATTGATTTCTTGATTTTCTGCAATTGTCCGTCTGCTATTGAAACATATATATTTCATTTTCATCTCTCTCTTCATGCAGCGCAATTGTGAAGCCTTGATGATGCTTCAGAAGAAAGGTTTGCGGAAGAAAAATCCTTCAATAACTGTTGTGGCCACAGCATTTGGAGATAAAGAAGATGTTGCATGTATGGAAGGCAATAAATTGGTAGATTGGGCTGAAGAGGATTTGAACGGGTTGTTAGACACTGGATTTTATGACACCTCCCAGCGAAAAGCAATTGCACTAGGTCTGAACAAGAAGCGGCCAATATTGATAATTCAAGGGCCTCCTGGGACTGGAAAGACAGGTGTACTGCGGGAAATAATTTCGGCCGTCATTAGACAGGGTCAAAGGGTGCTTGTTACAGCACCTACAAATGCAGCTGTGGACAATATGGTAGAAAAACTATCTGAAATTGGAGCTAATGTTGTGAGAGTTGGTAACCCAGCCCGAATATCCCCTGCTGTAGCTTCAAAATCTTTGGTTGAAATTGTAAACACCAAACTTGCAGATTTTAAATCAGAATTCGAGAGGAAGAAATCTAATTTAAGAAGAGATCTTAGTCATTGTCTGAAGGATGATTCTCTTGCTGCTGGCATACGTCAGCTTCTGAAACAGTTGGGAAAGACAATGAAGAAGAAGGAGCGAGAAACAGTGAGAGAAATACTATCAAGTGCTCAAGTTGTGCTTGCCACTAACATTGGAGCGGCCGACCCACTTATTAGATGTCTTAACTCTTTCGATTTGGTTGTTATCGATGAAGCGGGTCAAGCCATCGAACCTTCTTGCTGGATACCAATATTGCTGGGCGAGCGTTGTATTCTTGCTGGAGACCAATTCCAGCTTGCCCCAGTCATCTTATCTAGAAAAGCCTTGGACGGTGGTCTTGGGGTATCTTTCCTTGAGAGAGCAGAAACTTTTCATGAAGGGGTTCTTGCAGCCAAGTTAACAACACAGTATAGGATGAACGATGCAATAGCCAGCTGGGCTTCAAAGGAGATGTATAACGGATTACTGAAGTCCTCCTCGACTGTTACTTCTCATCTCCTTGCTGATTCTCCGTTTGTCAAGGTACAGTATGTTTGACAATTTGTTTCTCTTTGGAGCTTATGTTGCTTCCAATCTTCATGCTGTTTTATATAGGGAGTTACACCCCCAATACTTTTCAAGGATCTACATATACAAACAAAATTGAACCTGTCATCTTTGGGCTCCAAAGAAAAATATTTTCTTGTATTATGATTAGGGGAGATTAAGGTTTAGAATACTCTTAAAATTCAGGGTTCACACTTGGGGTTCAAGACTTGAGTTGTGTTCCCATTGTAGGTGTTGCAGATGAGCTTAAAGGCTCATTGCTTAAATCTCCTCTCTTTTTATACAATGTTACAAATTGGTGGTCCCCACTCCAACTAAAAGAAAACAAAATATGCATAAAACTATAAAAAAATACCTTATTTTTAACGTAGCCAAGATTATATGTAGACAATTTGAATAGACTTGAAACTTTTTAACCTTTCCCATGGTCTGTTTATTTATTGGTCCTTGATTTATAAAGAAAGATCAAACAGATAATTTAGCTCCAGTAGTAATAACAAACAATTAAACTTTTGTTATCTAATACAAAATCAACTATTTGTTTTTTATTTTCCTATAATTTTCTTGTCTCCATCTCTAATCCATGGGAAACACCATATGCCCTCCTTGCTCCATGAAGAAAAGGAACCTAACTTGACAAAGGTTGCATGGAAAAAAGATTACACTTCTATTTCTTCCTGAGTGGTAGATGATGGCTTGTGCTCCTCAGAGAGGCAACATTTTCTTTTTGCCTTCAATATAAGCTTGCACAGGAATTGCCCAAACGGCCAAACTCAATCCCTAGTAACAGTTAATTGGACGTAGTCAATGATAAAATTTCAATGTTGGCTTATGCAAATAGCCAAATGAACTTACAAAAAGTTCTCAACTGATGCTTGAAATAAGTAGGTTAATATATTGTTGTGCTGTGATACAAAAAGGAAGAACATCACCCATTTGAAGAGTATCCATGTGATGAAATCCTTTTAGGTTTCCTTTTAACTGTGTAGATGCTATTATTGTCAACTCTTACGTCGTAGGAAAAACTCATCTTAGAGCTGAGCCTGTTAAGGGAACTGGATTGCAGGCATTCTTCAGATTTCAGAGAAGACTTAAGACAATGAGCGAAGAGCAGCCAGTCATCTTATAAATAATTGGGGACATAAATTATCTTTTCTTTGTTTAGATTAAGATTAGTTTATTTCATTTTAGAATTTAGTTTCTTTATTTTGGTTTCCTTGTATTATTAGGTTTAGAAATAATTTTTTTCCTATAGAGGCATTGTACACTTTTCAACACAATCAATTATAAATTAATAACAAAGCAAGTTATTCCAATATTCTTCTTAGTTTATTACATAATTCTTATTACAAGAATTTCATAAATGCTTCCGCACCACGAATTTGATTTAACCTAAAAGAGTGAAGATTTAGATGCTACATTGCCAACAACGACAGCTCAGTTCATTATCATCACCGTATCATTTATCCCAATGACCCAGTGTTGCTACCGCCACCACGCGGTCAAATTTCAAGAAATCAATACCTACTGAACTTGAAATGATAGAAGTCATGTATATGGTAGTTTGGTATCCTCAACAAAGATGGTAATCAAGGATGAGGCAACTGGCCAGTTGAAGATACCTCATGAAAAAAGTTTGGAGCCTTGATGGTTGTGCTTGGGGTGATAATTGGAGATTTGGAGGCAAGATGTTAGATAGAGAATTTTTGTGGTTTTGACCTTGCAATAGTTAGAATGGTCATTGAACTTAATACTGTTTCTGGAAAATGATGTTTTGTTTTTACAATATCACCTTTAAATATCAACGCGCTTAGATGAGAAAAAATCAATTAACTAAGTAGATAAATCTCCATCCTTGTAGAACTCGATAGGAGCCATCACTTTTTACATGGGTCCAAGAGCTATAGGGAAATATCATTTGAATATGCCCTGGACACGGTTGGTTTCTCTCATGACCTTGATCAAACATTCTCATTTCAGTTATATTCTAAAGGAACCTGAGGGTCCCATATGTAAGACGAGAACTGGACTAATAATTATAAAAAATAAATTTGGCGTTATTTAGAATGAAGCCAAACTGGTAGGTTTAGTCCTGTTCCACATAATTATAAAAAATAAATTTTGCGTTATTTAGAGTGAAACCAAACTGGTAGGTTTGGTCCTGTTCCACCTAATTCTGCCCACCCACTCCCAACAGTTTTTGTCAAAATATCTGTGTTTGTGCAGGAGAACTTTCTTGTGCTATTTACCGGTGAGAGGGGAGGATACCTTTCTTGCTTTTCAAGTGTAAGGAGATTTGATATGGCTCAAAGGTATGCCAGCAATGTATATGGAAGAACATTTTGATCTATGATAAAGTTGAGTGACAACTAACCAACTGATTAAGGGATTCTACACAGTGAGGTGCATGCCTTGCTTATTGGCGTTGAAATGGCGCGGCTCATATTTCCATAATTTATATGCCTTGAAAGCAAACATCCTTTCCCCTCATGCACGCTTCTAGGTTTCACAGCTTGCAGGCTTGATAAGACACTTTCAGAAGGATTCCTTTTAAAGTCCTAAAGATATTCTTCTTCGCAGATTCATCCCATAAATGGAATCAATATTGATGTAGAAAAAAGTGGGTGTCAGTTGCACCCTCTAATTATCTACAGTTAGTAATTATTTTCTTCATTGTGGAACATGAAATCTTAAGCATTCAGTTACAAACACTTCGCACTCTAGTCATTGACTTCAGATGGTTAAGATATTTGTCGATGTTATTGTAATCATCTATCCAATGAGAAAAAAATGAAATCTTATTGAAGTTGATGGATTTTCAATACAACAGATTTTAGAGTGTGATAGATAGAATAATGAGGCTGCTTGACCTTGTCTTAGTAGCAAACATCTTTTAGAGACTTTTTGACATTTGATTAACCATGTGATATTTCCTTCGTTATATCTACAAACATATCGATGTTCTCTATATTTGTTGCAGCCAACATGGATAACACAATGTCCATTGCTATTGCTCGATACAAGGATGCCATATGGAAGTTTGTCCATTGGCTGTGAAGAGCAGCTAGACCCAACTGGCACAGGCTCCTTTTACAATGAAGGGGAAGCAGACATTGTCGTACAACATGTCTTTTCTTTGATTTATGCTGGTAACAACATTCACTAATTTACTTTAACGTTAAATATTTCTCGATTATTGTATTTAGCAGAAGAAAAAGACAAAACAAAGAATATATCAATTATACCATGCACGCACTCTCAACTTGTGTGCTCAAACAATCTAGAAAAATGGCATTCTGTGGATTCTGCCTATTGAATCCTATCATATTAATGCTACTGTCATAGAACTATTGCCTCTGTGGGATGAGCTTCAGTTGAGAAAGACATGGGTATATGGTCCTATGAAACAGGTAGAGTTATATAAAAAACATACCTTCTGCAGGATAATATCACACATGATTAATGTATTGGCTTCTTTTCAATTGGTAAGGAGATTGCTAATGGCTGCAGGACATACCTTTTTAGTAAGAAAAAAATGGGCAGATATGATATAGGAAGTTTGTTGCTGCACATGGTATTTATTGGACATGCAATATTTCAAAGCTATGAGGTAGCTCTATTTCTTTTTAGAAGACATTTACTATATCAAAGGTATCGGGATTTACAATTGCCCTGGAATTTGAAGATTCTAGGAGTCCTCAATGATAATATTCATTTCTTCAGCCTGCAATTGATAATATAGCTTTGACACATGGCGAAGTAAGCTTTCTTCTGTTTGCACTTCTTTGAATCACAGAGATCGTTAATTTTGTAGAAGAAGAAAAGGTGAGAATTAGGAGGTAGAAGAGAAAGAAGGGGAAGTATATTAATTTTTTGCGCATTAATATTACTTCCAATCTTTCTAATCAATAAATATTGGTAGAAACTAAATAACTTAGTCACAATTCAAAGGGAATGGTATGAAAGTAGAAATTTGTCAACGTGCAAGCTGTTCTTTTTTATTTTTACAGTTCTGGATGTGTAGGATTAAAATGAGTCCTATTTGACTGAATTTTTGCTATGGATGTGCGTGTGTCTGTTTCTGTCGGTTTGGGACGAATCAAAATCATCCAATGCTGGTTAATACAAACCATTTTATTCATTTTGAAGTAGGAAGTGAGCAGAAGTACTTTTATATAGTTAACAGTAAGTTAAGGATGGTTCATTTTTTTTTTTTTTGGGATGTGCAGTACAATGCTCTTCAATTAATATAAATGATTAATGCGAGGGAACCAACTATTTATCTTGACTGAGAAAGCAAAATCCAATTGGAGCACCAAAATGATTGGTGTTTTCAGGTGGTTCATGTAGAATTTGGACACCAGGAGGAGCAGTTGTAGAGTAGTCCCATCAAAGCAACTGGTCAGAATTCCAAAAAGAGTGCCATGTTTATTATAAAAAAAATTCTTTGGTCTGCCTTGCAGTTTGTCCTCCTTATCCTCAAACCAAATCTTTAGTAGGCTAAAAAAATTACTATTACCCACCACTGGTTTGTGCTTGCTTTCATTTTTCTTTATTACCTCTTCGGCAGCCATGAGATGAATAGATACAAGGAGACTAAGAATTGATTTCTGATAGCACAGTTCACAGAGAAAATTAGCAAATGTTCAGGACTATGTGTAAATTTGAGGCAGAGATCTTTAGCTAGCTTGTGTTCACAACATGTTATATTAGAGAGAACTGATTAAGCTTCTCCTTCCAGTTAAAAAATCTATTTATAATATCAACTAAGAAAATTCTCCCGTACCGACTTCATTTGAAGTTGAACTCCCGAAGACATTTTTTCTTCCACCTCTATCTTTATAACTCATCTTAATTATTAGATCCATAGATCTAAAAGATTCTTAAACTAAATCCATAGATCTAAAAGACGTTATACTTTTATAGGAACTTGCAAACATCAAAGTCATGGTAGTTGCTTAAATTTTATTATTTGCAGGAGTTAGCCCCACAGCCATCGTTGTGCAGTCTCCTTATGTTGCTCAAGTGCAACTCTTAAGAGATAGGATTGAAGAGTTTCCAGTAAGCTCTGGCGTCGAAGTGACAACTATTGATAGCTTTCAAGGCCGTGAAGCAGATGCCATGATTATATCAATGGTAAGCTATTCAAATAGCATTGCAATTTCATAAAAGATTAAGGAGCTGAATGCTGCTTGTCTTATTTTTACTTGATCTTTTTTTTAATGGAGCTAGGTGTAGATTTTAACTTACTTTTTTATACTTTATCTGCATATACGGCTATATGAAATATTTTCTTTTTCAAACACTGGAAAGTCGTGATTGTTCCTGTGAAACCCATCCCACGTCCCAACTAATTTGGTCAGTTGCGATACTCATTCTTCTTCTAATCAATTAGAATTAGAATAGCAACAATCCTATCCTTCCATTATGCTTGTTCTACTATATGACTATTGTGACCGCAAATGATACTATAAAATGAATTCACATTTTCCTTAACCTTGAATTGTTTGTATTATTAACATGTGTGGCTTTTGTATTGAACATGCTTGTTATTTGCAGTCTTATTTCTGTTTAATTTAGAATTAACATGCTGTTAATAATTTTACAAGCATGACTACGACTGTTAAAAGGATGAGGGATCCTCTAATCTTCAAACAAAATAAGATAAGAATACAAACTCATTTTTCCAACTAATGGAAGAGAAGGATCTTAAACAGCTTGTCCTAGAATCCATGAGGGTGTTGAAAACTTACATTTGTCTCGTAACTCAGAAGGTTCTTGCTCTTTTGCTTCAACATCCGACTATTTCTCTCTATACAAATCAGCCCTGAAAAGAGTTGAGACAATCAATTTCCACTTGACTATGCCCCTTGCCTTTACCAAATCCCTTCATATTTCCAATGAGAAATCCAATGGCCACAGCTAGAAACTAAAACTAACTTGTCAAAGGAGTCTACATAAAAGTACAACAGCAGCTCTTGGTACATCCTAAGGGGTATACTTGCATTACCACAAGATATTAAAACACAAAAATTGAGACCGAAATGAATTTGTACATCAACTGTTAATGTGCTTGCTAACTTTACCTTTGAGCAGAAAACTGCAATCTTCTATTTCCTTTTGAGCTGGAGTTACCATGGAATTGAGATGATGTGATCCCCTCTCTTGTTTGAGATGTTAACTGGAAGAATTATGAG